ATAGGGTTCAAGGACTACCTACATGGACCAATGGATGCAGGAACAAAGCTTGAGGTCAAATTCAGGACCGGGGACATAGGCCTTCGAGAACGTCGACGAAGACACAGGACGGTAGACGACGACTTCAGATCTGATTTTGACATCGAACGCGAATACCGTGTCATGTAGTCGCGGAATGTCCGTAGTACAAGTCATGTAGTCGCGGAATGTCCGTAGTACAAGCACGAGAGGGAAGTTTACGTGACTGAGCTGGGAAAAATAGATAGGACGTACAGGGAGATGTTTGAGGCATGGAATAGAGAGGAAAGGACGGTAGTTATACTGGGGCATAGGAGGTGGGTTGAAAAGGCAGGAAGGTATTTCGTTAGGATAGACAGACCAGGGAAGACATTTTTGAGCCACCATTGGCAAAGTAGAAAGGAACGACTGGCCATCGATGATCGGTCCTGTGGGAACAATGCTCCGTATTCTCGAGGACGCGTGGTCAATGGCCTAACCGCTAAGGCATGCAAAACATAAGAGTACGCCCCCCGATCCCACCCCACACCCCCGCATGTTTTTGGTCGACAAACGTTGCACCTCCAGCCCGGCCATGGTCGCGATCTGCGCAGCTCGTTCCCCATCCATCCTATATTCCCGGGCCAGCACCTGCACGTCCTTGGCTGTCCCGAACGGCAACGCTTTACCATCCTCCCTGATAAAAGTGCAGGTGGCCACCGCCCTCCCCCCCTCCCGATACTTCTTCTCCGCCGCCGACATCTTGGGGCCGGTCAGCATTCCCCGTAAGTCGGCGTGCCTCGCAGCAGCCCCCCACCCATCAGCCCCCCCACCCCTCTCCCCACTCCCCCCCCAATTCCCAACCCAGTGTTCCATAGGTACCCCGCCCCCGTCGGGCCCACCGGTTGCGCCGGCCGCTGCTGCTGCTGCTGCAGTTGCTGCTGCTGCAGCTGCTGGAATAACTGATTGTGCTGCACCATGTACTGCGTGTACTACTGCTGTTGTTGCTGCTGCGTGCGGATCGCGATACTCTCGCTGCATGGCCTCGGCCACCACCCGCTCCACCTAGCCAGCGGTGACCTGCCCCCGCCCCGCTACCGACGCCTCCCCAACGGATACGCCCCCCCATGTCGTCCCGCGAACTCCCCTACCAACCCTTGTTGCGATTGCTGCGGCGGCCCTCCACCCCCCCTCCCCTTGTTGACCGTTCCGATGTCGGGCCGAAATGACACACCGCATCGAAGCTTCTCACTCCACTTTGTCAACCTTCTTTTCGCAGCTGGCACACATTCCAC